AAAAAAAGTTAAACATTTCACATTACTTTTTACTTTTCTTAAAAGTAACATGTAACATAGAGTACATTACTTAGTTACTTGAGAAAGTAATTCATTTCATTATTTGTTAAATTATTTTTGCATTACACGTGGCAGTATTTGACTGCCTGGGATGAGATTTTGTGTCACAATTTTTAAAGTTTGAGGAGATTTTGCAGTTATCTTTATTATTTAAATACATGTATGTGTAGATACATACATGACAAGATAATAAAAAGGAAACACAGACAAGGTAACTGATGACGACATACCTAGGTATTTGGATTATGGATTCTGATGTTACACAAAATGTGATTCTGATGAGTACCAGACTCTGTACAGACTTCCAAAACAGGGGGAACAATAAAGAGCATTTCTGGGTGGAGTGGGACTGCTTTACATGCCACATTTCTCACCCTTCTGTCATTTGATTGATGTCATTTCTCGAACCAGTGGGCAAATGTCTCTGACTGTTTTTGTCCCTAACTTGGAACTCATATTAAACTTATATTAAAAGTCTATTTCAGACGTGTTGTTATGCAAGAAGCACTAATTTCAGATGAGAAACGAAGATGAACTTAAAACTCTGACCAGAAAAAAAAAGTTTAAAATCAGATTACAACTTTTTTGGCAACTTATTTATTAAATGCCCATCCCTTCCTGTTTTTGTAAAGCCCAGAAGCTTCGAACAAACCATATGTGTGTGTGTCTCTGTGTTGTGTGTGTCTGTGTGCTCCCATTCATATCTTTCACAAGTGATCCCAGCATCATTAATAACAATATTACTTCCTTGTATAGACTTTCTCTTGACCTTTGCATGCATGTGTGTTTCTCTTTGTGTGTGTGTGAGAGAGAGAGACTGGGTGTGTATATGTGGAGTCAGTATTGTTCTGCATCCTGTCTTGATAATGGGCACACAGACACACACACACACACAAACACACAAATACAAAGGCCCCCTCTTTCTCAAGCTGGTTTACAATAATAAATGATGAATCATTGACATCGGTCAGACATGAGGATGTTTTCAATGCGATAATAAGCTGAATAGAAAGTATTAACAGGTCAACGTGATAAAATTCTGCCACATCCATCAACATCATGGGCGTTCATTCAGAGACAAACTAAATTCCAAACTCAAGTAACAAAAGAAGTTTAATTTCTTAATTATTTTAGAATTTACTCAAAGATTTCTCTATCTTTATGCACACTGGCATGCACACACACACACACCTTTTATTTGTGGCACTTCTTTGTGATCTTATTTAAGGTTTTGGGGTCTGAAAATGCGGTTTTGCGGTCATTTTTAGCACTGATGTGGTCATTATTAACACTGGAATGCATAAAAACAGAAAAAGATGCTTACACTTTTGATATTAAACTGATATTAACTAAAACTCTGCCACATACAGATACTTTACCCGATTTAGGATACAGAGAAAGGAAACTTCTAATCCAGTGATAGCCTGATGATTGTAGACTGAGGTTAAACTAATGGATGCTTTCTTCCTGTTGGTGAGGTGCTAGTAAGCCAGGCACTCCTCCTCTTCAGAGTTGATCCTCAGGATGTAGGAGCAGCAGATTTAACAGCTGACAGATGCACGTATTCAGATGATCTGTGATGAATGACGGCCACTCTCCAGCTGTGAGTGTGAGCATTCCTGCTCAGCCTCAGTCACTGAATGTCAGCGTGAACTTGATGAACCCGACAAACTTCAGGACAGACAGGTTGAGACTGACACAAAGACGGATCGATGGAGAAGGTCAAGTTGATTCAGGGGAGTGAAAAAGGAGTCAATCCAGCAGTTTGGAGCAATTTGTGTCCAGAGAGATCTGAACTGAAATGAAATGTGTGTGAAGCTGTAGTTTATACCCCCCTCTCTCTCTCCCTCTCTCTCTCACTCACTCTCTCCCCCTCTCTCCCCCTCTCCTCCTTCTACATCTCCAGAGGAAGTGGGCCTGGTGCCTCGCTGCCTGCTATTCAACTCTCAAATATAGGTGCATGTGTTTGTTTGTGGTGTTTGGCACTGAAGGAAGTCACATATTGTATTAAGACACAATAGCTAAAAGACCCAGTCCTGCATTCCTTCATGTCACTCTCTCGACATATATCTCTCTGCTTCTCTTAAGCTCTGGTAAGTGACTTAAGCTTAAAGTATAATTCCACAGGATTTATTATGGAATCTCTTTGGAAAACCGCTGGTTAGGTTCCTGCACTGAGACTCTTCCGAAGATAAACACAAACTGGTTTCAGTTTCTTAAGTCTTTCTTTTTTGTGATTTCAGTGAATTACATTCATTTCATTTACTTATTTGTTTTTAATGGAAACTGAAATTTGCCAAATATAATCAAAAAGTAAAAGTGAACATCTTTGCTCAAAATAAAAAGTAGGCTAAGATGCAACATGTGACTTCAGTTCATGACCCCAGAATGACTGAAGGGTTAGAATGTTGGACAGAATTTCACTTGGGGTTTTTTAAATCAGCATGAAAACACTTTCTAGCAGCTGTGTCTTCTTTTCAGAGAACTTGTGATAGAATAAAAAGCACCATGGCTTCCTCCAGGCTCTTATCAGCGTGTCTTTTCCTCAGTATATCTAAAGCAGTGGTTATACCATGTGACACTTAAAGCAATGTGGCGAACAACACTGCACAGCCAGAGGATATAAACGTTACACCAAATGTCAGAAATTTTCAAGGTAATTTTCTTGTTTTGAACCAGCTGAACTGCCATTAAAAAATTAAGTGATGACATTCGGCTTCGTTTCAGTGAATTCATCGACGTTTTCTTAAATTCGGTCTGTGATATGCAAACACATAAATCCTCCACTAATTATGTAGTTTCATAGTTAGGGGATTTTCTTGAATGGAGTGGGTAGATAAAATAAGGTCTCTCGCTTTAAAATTACCAGATATTGTTCGAACATGCAACTCTGCTCACTGCTCACTTCATTAGGTACACCTGTTTAGCTGCTTGTTGATGCAAATACCTACACAGCCACTCGTGCGAACATGGTCCAGATGATCCTCTGTTCAAACAGATCATCAGAGTGAGGGGAAAAGGTCATTTAAATAACTTTCAATGTAGAATGCTTGTGATGCCAGGGTGGTCTGATGACCTGGGATAACTATTTCTACAGTCTGCAGAGAATGGTTAGAAAAAGAGGAAAGCAGCAGCTATCTGGGTTAGAATTTCTTGTTGATTCTAGAGGTCGTAGAATAGTCAGACTTGTTTGAACCGATAGGAAGGCAACAGTACCTCTAGTAATCACTTGTTACAACCAAGGTATGCAGAAGAACATCTCTGTAAGCACAACACATCAAATTTTGAACCTTGGGCTACAGACCACAATGGGTGCGCGGCCACGCCTGTCAGCTAAGAACAGGAAACTGAGGAAGTTATTACATGTAATGTAACTGTAGTGTAGTTTGCTTAAAGGCTACTGCTAGCGTTTTAATTCTTAAACGATTGAATATTTTATTTCCTTATTGCATTTACACTTCAAAAATTCTAAAAGTTGGAATAACTTGTGACACATTTTCAGCTGGAATCCAAAAACCTAGTTGCTGGCTTTTTGTCACATGAAGCAGAGTGATCATTTACTTCTGGGTTTACTTGGGGCTATTGTTGCTCAAGAGTTGGGAGTTCGCCTTGTAATCGGAAGGTTGCCGGTTCGAGCCCCGGCTCGGACAGTCTCGGTCGTTGTGTCCTTGGGCAAGACACTTCACCCGTTGCCTACTGGTGGTGGTCAGACGGCCCGGTGGCGGCAGTGTCCGGCAGCCTTGCCTCTGTCAGTGCGCCCCAGGGCAGCTGTGGCTGCAATGTAGCTGCCATCACCAGTGTGTGAATGGGTGGATGACTGGATATGTAAAGCGCTTTGGGGTCCTTAGGGACTAGTAAAGCGCTATACAAATACAGGCCATTTGCCCTAAAAAATAAAAATCTCCATGGGACAAAACAACAAATCCCCCAAAAACTTCCTGTAACGCATGATCTTTTTATCAAAGATCAACTTTTAATGCTTCACAGAGCATGCACACCCTTTGAAATACAAAAACTCTTTATTTTGTTCCAAATAGCTTCAGGAGATTAAAGTTCTGCAGATTTTTAAAATAATAAATAGAAAATTTGCTTGTTAAACTTTTTGAACTGTTGATTTTTTGTTTATTTCCTTGTTTTTGCTCACATGTTTGTTGAATAGGCGACCATATTTAACTAATCTAGAATACAATCATGCACATGTGACTGAGATTTCATACCATATTGATACTTTGGTATTGTTATAGATTTTCCGTGCATTGGGTAAACTAGATGAATTGCACGATGTTAGTGTTCTTTGTCATTTATTTATGCACTAACTTATACCTTAACTTATAACCTACACCTGTTTTGCATCAGTTAAAAGTATGAATAATTCATTTAAGTGTCATCATAAATCAGATTAAGAAGCACTCTGAGAACACAAGCCTCCATCATGGCAGCTCACTCTCTGCACACTATTTTCTTTTATGCAAATAGTTTTGTATTTTCTGTATATTCATTTTGCCTTCTTTGTTCTTTTTAAAAGTAATTTAATAAGTTTAAGATGTGAAACAAATGCATTTGAGCATAAATGTTTATTATTATTTTTTATTTATGTGTTTAGACAAATTTAAATGTTTAGCAATAGATACATAGTAGGTAAAATGGATTTGCTAAGTAAATAGTATACGTTTATTTTGTTTTCCAAAAGAAATTAGTACTTTGTACATGTCTTCAAATTTTTATGCATTTAAATGGTGATGAAACCTGTTTCTGTAATGTACACAAAAAGTATCCAATACCAACATGTTTGCGTCAGTCTGAAAGCCTGTTTTCATTTTAAATAGTTCTCTATCCCTTTGACCTTGAGGTAAGTTTATTGACCTTGAAGGAGAGGTCAGAGGTTAAATCTAAGATGAATCATAGTTCCTAAGTTTCTAAAAGGTTTTCTGTCAATTTTCAACCAATAAGTCATCAAGCTGGCCGTGACGACCTTAGTGGATGTAAGGCAAGTTGTAATGGATTATTAACATGACCCCACTCTACACAATAAACTTTTATCAGAATCAATTCAAAACTTTTTTAGCTATTGTGTTCATGGGACAAAATGACATACATGCAAATGTGGCCAAAAACATGGTGGTGGTAAGAAACTTGCTGTGGAGTTGTGAGATGTGATACATGTTTGTGTCACCTTATTCATAAAGGAATTAAAAGAAAATTAAAAGAATTTAACTAAAAAGACAACTTCAAGCATAATTACACTCTTTTCCACTTTTGGTGCTTTGTCGTTACTCACCCAACAAGCAGTTGTTTTCCTAAATTTTCTCACACAGAAAGTCGACTAATGTGAGGTCATCACAGTTTACCAAGTAAAAGTGATCACCTCACGTTAGCCTCTAGAGAAACAAGGATTTCTTCTTAGCTTGAAAAAGGAGATGTCTATATTTAAGAAAAAGAAGAATATCTCTAAAGTGTCAAATTATATGTAGACATATGAAGAAGAGAAAATAATTAAAATGAAAAAAATCAAGACACTGATGCAGAAAATTTAAATTGAATTCCTGTATAGTCAATATTTGAGAAGGTATAAAAACTAGATAGGTGTTATTAGTGGTCCGTATAATGAATGCAGGCCTATTTAAAACTGTAAAATGAACCAATAAACTCTCAGAGACTCAATGATGAAATGCAGAAAGAGTACAGGCAAACATTTACTTCCTATCATCATCTCCTCTCCTCCTCTTTAAATTGTGTCTGTATGTGTGGCTTTGTGTGAACTGCATATTGGTGTGTATCCATTTTGGAGTGTTTTGGATGCATCACACCTCTGCTATCTCTTAGCTAATGGGAACAACGATAACATACCTTCCATTAAAAGAACACACGCACACAGAAAAATGATGTTAACACTCTGGCTGACTGCTCCCAACTATTTTTAAGAAGCACTCCAGTGGTGTGGCAGCGCACACCGGGAGGTTGGGTTTATCTGAACCTCAGCACCTCCTCTGACAAACAGCTGACTGTCACACCCGAGAGAGAGAGGAAGCTCCAAGAGGGATGACAAAGTCGAGCAAAATGTTAACACAGTGCTGGAGCTACAGAGTTTTGTTATCGGAAAGGTCACACTGTGAACAGAAGCCTACAACAATCATTTCCAGAATCAAATATTTAAAAAAACGAAGTGCAATTCAACTAAAAATACTTTTTTTTCTAATATGGCCAAACTTTTCAGATGAATTCATATTTATTTTCAAACGCTTATCCACTAAAACAGCTGCTGCCTACTGTCTAACCTTGTGTCCTTATCTTAGTCTAGAAACACATGTGACTGTTAAGCTGCTTGCTGCTGTTATATGGGCTGATCAGACCAAGATGATCCAAGTTTGTTCCAGTGTTGTTCACATGATACTGTTCTTAGCTAAAAGCACACACTAAATATCTTATCTTTATCTTGAAGATTGTTTATGACATGATTGATATTTTGTGATTAACATTTGGAACTAATGATGACACCTACTACATAAAGAAGAATGGATCCATCTATGGTCTCATGACTCTCCCCCAGTTACAGTTCTGGCCCCTGGGCACAGTTTTTCTGCATGTAGACAGTTTGTGTTTATGTTTAAGATTAAATATTAGCACATCTACCTCCCGAATCCCATTCATTATTGCTCAGTGTGCTGGTAAGAGTATAAATTTAGTCGTAGGGTTTACACTTATCTATGAGGGCAGGTTGGTAGAAATAATCTGTGTGGGACTGTTTGTTTCATTCACCATCCTGTTTTTTATGTAATATGTGGATGCCTAGTGTACTGCTTCACACATTTGCCTGACAAGTGAAAGACA